TTGCGCACATCTTCTACAGAATCACGCTGCTCCTGAGGATGGTAACGTTCCTTACGTGGTCTCCTTCTTGCGGAACACCCCGAACGAGGTGCATCCAACAGTGCCTGCTCAGTGGTTGAGAACTTTGGCGTAGAAAATGTCCTTGTGAGGAAAATATATGATCTGCTAGCAAGGATCTTCTGTGGGGTGTCTTCGACCTCTTGGACTCCTCACATTCTCAAGCACAACCATTACGAAGTAACCGCTCATCCCTCCAAGTACAATTCTCGTAGAACAGCCTCAGCCCCTGCTGTTTTGTGAGCTTGGGCGAAATAGCCATGTCCCACAGGTGTTACGTCTTTGGAGGACCTCCCTTCCTGTAATAGTTCAAAACTAGGATTTGCACTAAACACACAACACAACAGTAGCACCAGGAAATCCAATCGGATTTCAGGTGCACAAGCAGGAAGAATGGTGGGGGGTGGTGGGGGTTCTGGGAGGCCTGGAGCCCTGGCAGACGTCCAGCAGTGCTGACACTGAGATAGTGTCACCTGCTGGTCTGCCGGCAAGAGAACGACGGTCCAGCCCTTGGAAGGCCCGGAGGTCTGGAGGCCTTGGGAGGGCCTGAGCTCCCACCCCACGCAAAATGCCACCCCCACCCTCCTCCCCCCTCCCCCCGCACCCACCCCACCCAACCCCATCCGCACCATTTTACAGCATTTTGCTGGTGCTATTTCTGGTGCTTCTGTCTGTGGTCACTATTACAGGGGCGGGGGTCCTCCAAAGTTACGTCAGACAACGGTCCAGGGTCCAATTTACCCGTATCATCAACGCTTCAGCGATCGTGAGTCCCAGGAGTGCTTCTTGGGAGCATGAACCGTACGGATGCGTGGCCATGTCGCTAACGTGTAATATGAGGCCTGCTATGAGGCCTGCCCTTTTGATTTTTTCAAGCAGGGCACAGAAGTCTCAGACATGCCCGTAAACGTGGCAGCTCCCGTTCCTGGGAACTTTTGAAAAGCAATCCCCATCAAGATCGGAAGGCGAACTCAACTCTTCTCCTCTCAGCTGCATGTAGGATCATAGCGGAGTGTAAGGTACTTGTGGCAGGATGTGTGCGGAATTAGGAGTTTCCCACAGCGGCAAAAGGGGAAGCCTTCCTTGATGCAAACAATCTGCTTTTTCTCAAGTTATGCTTCAACATTGAGCTCCCAAGAAACCTTCCCACCTTTGCTTGGCTGTCTGGCTGTCTTTCTGAAGTGAGAAACCGACAGAAGCTTTTTGTCAAATAAAAAGGATCTGCGCATCCCTTCCCAACCCAACCTGGCCTGATACTGGCATCGAGGCTGAGATTGAGTTTCGCATTGGCGACGATGGGGAACGTGCGGCGGTGCCGAAGCTCTGAGTTTGCTGGGTGTGCCACAATAAGACTCAGTGGTTGTTGGATAACATGTTAAATGGTTATGTAGATCTGAACAATACAGATTCAAAAACGGACCATGGTACCTCAGCAATACTCAAGAAGAGACGGATCTGCTCATGTATTCCACAACTCAGGCGTTCGAGCGCTCACAATAAACCACTTCGTGCACAGGATTGGGCCAGGAGCGGTCAAGGTTCACTTGTTCTTCTTGCAAGACACCTTCCAACAGCCCCGACGTGCAAAGCTAAACCGAGGCCCGCCCCAACACAAACAAATCAATCTATCAATCAACGTGCCTCCGCCATTTGCTAGAGCGGGTGGGCCCAGGAATGCCTTTACCGGCATCTTCTTGGGAATCAAACCGGGAGTCCAAGAATCTCTGCTTTCGGGCGCTAGGTTTTCATCGCATCGGTAGGGTTGAAATGTGGCACACTTGTGGGAAACATGGATTATAGGCACGCTTCACCGATGTGAAAATGAATACTCTAGGGATCTATTTCCTATTCCCTACAAGTAAGTCGGAAGAGCACGGATTCCAGCCAGGCTAGAAGGCTATATGTATTTCCTCGCCCGCTGTTAAGGGGATCCTGCGACATAGCCAACCAATCACTCCGACACACACATCGCACACCAGTACTTATCACACTGCAGGACAGGAGGAGGCGTGGACAATCTAAGGACAAACGTCCATGAAAGCAGGTAGTTAGAACGTTGCTGCATGATTTGAATTCTGACGCGAAAGGTCAAGACTCACACGCGAGAATGGGGGCTTCTCCAACCTTTCTGGTTTGATAGCCTAGGGTTCAGCGTGTGACTCGGAGATCCATCGGCCGTTGAATCTTGAGAAGTATGAGGACTGTAGCTACAAGCCGCTGTAGTCGCTTTTGAGATGCTATACAACTACCAATGAAGCCCCCCAAATAGACTCTTTCAATTCAACCCTCAGGGCTGTCTGGAGTAGAGGAGGAAGTTGAAGTTGTTGGAGATCCATAAGGAAACCCTTCCTCCATACCCTTCCAGTGGGAAATCTACTCCTTTTTGGGCAATGTAAAAAACCTCACATAAACCAAAAGCCTCTAAGATATCGGCGCATCCAGGTGAACCTTGTAAGCCTCGCACGCCGCCTTCAGCTTCTGAAAAGCTACTCGGTGTGAGGGCTTGGCTGTACATGGTTCAGGGCTTGGGGTGTAGGATTTGGGCTTTACAGCGAAGCGTTGATGGTTTTGCTTTCTGTCTTCTTTGCATCTTTCTTGCTTGCGAGGCCTTCCTTCGGCTTATCGATTTTGGGTTGTTCCTGGCAGTCCCGGGAGGTGGGATTTGATTGAGGTTCCCCTCAGTTTTGCGCATGCTGGCCTGCAAGTGTTGTGGATGGTGGTGCTGCATCATGATCTTAACCTCGTCCAGAACACATGAACTTTGTGGAGGGCGGCGCAGATGTGTACCTAGATTGAAGTTCCATAGAAGCGCTTTTTGGCAGCAATTACGACACATTCCACACTGGTCAAATCCAAAGGGCAATCAAATTTAGGCGGGTTCTGGAGGATGTTGTTGTCATTGACCAAGTCACTGCGGCACCATTGTCTCAATGATCTCTAATTTCAGGTCTTCAGACTTGCCGTTTAGATTGAAATCACTAAAGATCCAAACCTCCAACCCAGCAACACCTAAGTCTCAAAAGCCGTGCAAGCCCTAAGAACCGTGCTTCCATCCTTGCACTGTTCTGCCAGATGCCATGCTGCCTCCGGAGACACCTACGCATTCCAGACATCCTCGAGCAGGTGTCCAGATTTGAGTCTGGGGGTTAGATTATGGAGACTTTGGATGCACATGTTCTGTTTTAGAAGTTGTTCAAGCCATGCTGGCTTCGCCAGGGCAATCTCAGCGTTGCAAAAATAAAAAGAAATCTCTCTCTCCCTCTCTCTCTCTCTCTCTCTGCCCCCATGCTGATTTCCATTGCCAGCTCCCGATTCCTTGTTAATTCGCTTGTTTGCTATCTGAACGTGAGCATCCACGAAGAAAGCACCTAGTGAGTTCAATGAGTTGAGTTCAAGCCCTCACACCCAAAGTCCTTGTTGTGTACTCTAAATCAAAATCCAGCAGCCAGAATCCAGAACCTCAAGGCTTTTTGAACCAAAGAGCTTGCGTCAGGGAGGCAGCTCTCAGCTCGTCGAAGAAGTGGGGGTAGCTCAAGCTCGAGGCGAAGCCCAAGTCCAAGTCCCAGCCCGAGCTACTCAAGCCACCTGGCTGGGGGTGGACGCCAGCTTTGGGATTCTAGCTGGTTCAGGTGGATAGAGGTGTAGGGTATCTAGGAGCCTGGGGTTCGAGCAGCTTAGCTGTGCGTATCCGGCAACATGCGGGACATCGGATTTGCACGGGCAATCCAAGAAAAAAGCCTATAGGTCTCGAATGACAAAGGAAGGAGCTCTGAGCAACGTGCAAGCTGTGGCCCAGGTTCAAGCGTCTAGGGGTTCAGGATTCAGATCCAGATCTCAAATTCAGGAGTACAATTTCTACGAAGTTCTGGCCAGAGCCTCGTGCAGTGAGGGTTGAGAGTATGCTGGTTGGGCAACGCATACTGGTTCCAAGCCTATGCCTTTTGGACTTAGGGCTGCGCTTGTGGATCTTTGCTGGGCACTTCGCGGGGCACTTCACATCTATAATTAGGCTTGCGCTAAGTATGTAGGCATTGGCGTGCTTGCTCTTTCCTTAATTGTGGTCTTAACTTTGAAGCTCTGAACGACGGTCGTGCTCGGTCTGCTTTTCTAGGAGGTTGCTGGAGGCGGGCGATAAGTGCCCTTCACTAGGAAAGATTGTCAAGCCGCGGACAGCCAGCAGGCTTTTTCAGCTACGGGGCTACACGAGTACCGGTTTCGGCAAAACGCCTTGTTCAACTCACCCCTTGTGGCCAAATGCCTGCATAGCAAAGGCGATGTTGGCTGCTTTGAGTTGTTTTTATAAAAACACTGACCCTCCCACCACCCTTTCAGTGTTGGTTGAGTTGCTACCTCCAATTATCATGGAAATGCAGTCTGAAAGCATTACGCTGTACAGTGTAAGCCAAGTTTAAAGAAGTATTCAACTTGAAAATGCCTCGGAGTGCCTGAGCATGTTTGCTGAAGCAACTCTTCAGGACTTTGGATGGAACTGAGCTGCTGTACGTCAACACTGCAAAGAATTTCATGTGTTGAGAGCTGCTGGTTTGCCGGCCGTTGGCCTGTAGTTTGGCCAAGGTTCTGCAAATGGTGTTCCAGGTGTCTTGATAGGAATAACCTCGCTTTGCAAATTGAAGTGCAAAGAACCGCAAGCTCATCTTCAAATCGGACTTGGATTTGTTGATTCTCCACATGCGGTACGTCTCACCTCGAATGATGCTATTGGTAACGGAAGGTGGATGGCAGCTTGCTTTTGGCAGGTACAGGTATCTGTTCAATGGTTTTCGGAAAGCAGCCCAGTGCATAACCCCAAAGCAGTGGGACAGCTGAACATCCAGGAAGGGAACACTAGGTTCACCCATCCAAATCCGACCACCACGACCTGAGATCTCCCAAACAAGCTCGCTTCGCCAGTTATTCAGCGAATTCTGGATAGCATCGATGTTTTAAGCACAACACACCGTGTCATCAACCAGCCTTTTGTAGAAAGCAAGTTGCGCAGCATGCTCATGAGTAACAAGGGCATCGAGGTGGCCAACATAAATGTTGGCGAGGAACACACCTGGGGGTATGCCTGTGGCGATGCCAAAAGCTCTGAAGCACTCGCCACGGTGCATGACATATTGGTTTCGCAGCACAATCTCAAGAACATGAACGATGTATTTGGCTTTTGGGTTCATGCCATAGTAGCCAAAGATATCATCAGAGAGGACTTCCAGAAGGTGATCAGTTTGAATTGATGGGTAGAGGTTCTTGATGTCAATCGTCGCGATTTCATAGTTCAAGGGAACCACTTGCGGGATGTCACGAAGGAAATCGGCACTGCTTGCGACCACATGTGGGAGCCTGTCTTGCAACGGCGAGAGCACCTCGCATAAGAAAAGGCTGGCTGGTGCTAACCAACTGTGCGAAAGGTTGGCGATTGGGCGCCCAACCATGGGGCACTTGTGAAGCTTCACAGTGAGACGGAATGTACCCTCACGTTTGGAATACAGATCATTGCAAATGAATCTGGACTGCTTTGGGCAAAGAACACCAATAGCTTCCATTTGTCGGGTAGCAGAATCCAAAGTACAGCGTGCTTTAAAAGCTTTCGCCACATACTCCTCGTTCGAGAGATGGCAAAAGCCTGTCTGAAGCAAGCGCTCAAGCTCAGCAGAAACCCAACATCTCGGTAGCATAACATCACCCAAACCTTTGTCGGCAGTTGCAATCACAATCTCGCTTTTGTGCAGCTTCAGCCACTGTATTGCTTTACAATCCAACCACATGAAATTACGTCGCAAAGGCTTTTCAACGTATGAAGAAATAACATCACGTCGAAGTTGGCGAACAAGAGCTGAGACATCCTCATCAAGTGGGGGGCTCCAGAACGAGGAGACTGCACAGTTAGCCTTCTTGCGTTTCATGGCAACGTTCGGTTTTTTCGCAAAGAACTTAGCTTTGTGCAGTTTTGTCGCCATCTGATCCAAACTACGCAGCACGTCAGGAAGTGAGCAGCGGTGCTTGTCCATGATAAACTTACCACCTTTGTTGAGGTACAGCGTAACATAATCTGGTATTTCGAATTTGGGCGGCATGCAAGAATGGACGAAATCCCCTGAGATTCTGGCGGACAGAGATCCCAAGGAAGTTCGAAAGGAACGACTAATACAATACTTGGCAAAATTAATAGACTGCAAGTCCGAATTCCAGTAGCTTTTGCATCTTCTTCGCTTGCACTGATTGGGGACAATGGGAGGGAGCGCTTGTCAATAGCGCCCACTCGCAAACCTGACCTGCTTGCCGGAGCCTTTACCTCGCCCTTTTCCTCGGCCTCGTTCACGTCCACGACCTTTGGATGAATCAGCTCCTCCTTTGCCCTTGGATTTCCCGCCGGGCTTCCGCGAAGCTGAGCTGCTGCGACGGGACTTGGCGCTAGCCTTGGAGGATGGCCGGCTAGCATAAGAGCTTGCACGGGAGGATTTGCTGCTTGATCTCGACCTACGGGCTGAAGAAGTAGCAGTTCGAGGCTTGGGATGGGGTGTAGGAGTGCGACGTCCGACAGCTTTCTGCTTCGAAGCCTGGGCCTTCTTCGAAGGTTGGTCCACAAGCTTGATTTGGAAGTGGTTATGTAAGTCAGGGAATCTGCGGATGATCGCGGCCAACTCACTGGTCTTGCAAACCTCAACATGTTTTGCTGTAGTGCCGTCCGCTTGGCTAGATTGCTTCGAATGTTTGTCCAACTCGATCATGGCAATCAGCATTTGGGGATCCATAGATTGGAACTTTGTCTCGGTCTCCAGGAGGGCCGCCTGTTTTTTCTGCCGACTCGTAGCGGCATCTGTCAGGCGGCTCTTTGCCTTAGGGATCTCCTCACGCACAACCATGTCCATAAGAAGCTGGCAGTTTTGGTGAGTTTGCTGCTTAGTTTCGAGGGACATGAAGCTGGAGTGTTGGGAATACCACAAGGTAACAATGTCCGTCACGTGTTGCTTAACCTCCTTGTAGTCGGTCTTGGATTCGTAGTATGCCAAGGCACGCTTTTGGTGTTCCACCACAAACTTTTGGCATTCAAGCGCATGCTTACGCCTCAATGTAGACCAGGCTTTCGCAATGTCGTAGGACATGCCTTCCTGTTGCTCATCGATCCCTAGCACGGGATGCGCCGAAGCACAATATTCTTGGGGCCATTGCCACTGTCTAGATGACTCTTGCTCAAACTGACGCATGATGGCGCCATCTTCTTCAATCTTCTTGTATTTCTCACGTAGCTCCGTCTGCGTGATCAAATGCGCCACGTCCTTCTTGAATCCTGAGCGCCAGTTCTGCATAGACACGCGGAGAGAGGGGTCCAACGACTCAAAAAGCTGATCAGGATTTTGAAAGGACTGCGAAGCACAAGCTCCACTTTGCATCTGATTTCTGAGCATGGCCGTCTGTTCTTCTAAAAGGGCGACCTAACGTGCCATCAGTTGAAGCACATCTTGCTGTTGCTGATCTGAAGAAGGATGACGAAGTGGCCTTCCCGCCGAACTAAAGAGATGCGGTGTCATGCCTTCATGGGCATTTCGATTGGCATTCGATCTAGACCTCAAGTCGGCAGCTGTTTGGAATTCACGACCTCTCGGGGGCAAGATAGGATCTCCTGTGACATGGGCCATGGCGACAATCTAAATGAATGGACAAAGCACTTCACTAGGAAAGATTGTCAAGCCGCGGACAGCCAGCAGGCTTTTTCAGCTACGGGGCTACACGAGTACCGGTTTCGGCAAAACGCCTTGTTCAACTCACCCCTTGTGGCCAAATGCCTGCATAGCAAAGGCGATGTTGGCTGCTTTGAGTTGTTTTTATAAAAACAACTTTGAAGCTCTGAACGACGGTCGTGCTCGGTCTGCTTTTCTAGGAGGTTGCTGGAGGCGGGTGATAAGTGCCCCATTCCAAGCACACGCAAGTACATGGAGTGTCCAAACTCCAAAGCGTTCAATCCCACCTAGATACAAAAACTCACATCACATTCCGCAGGCCAAGGCTCCGTAGCAAAGCACAGCTGAGGCTACAGTCCAAGTCCCAGCCCTAGCCCCAGCCCAAGCCCAACCCCAAGCCCAAGCAGCTCGGTTGCGTTTAAAGCGCTGTCATTTCGCTAGCAGAGTGCGTTCTCTCTTTGCTCATTTGAGCTGACCTAACGGCGTTGTTTGACCAACTGTAGGGCTTTGTCATGCGAATTCAGCAGCTAGGGAGCATGGGTTCGGCTATCTGCATGGGCCTGTTGGCGTTGCTGAAACGGGAGTGAGGTTCTTGTAAGCAGTTCATGACAGGAAAGCGACATGATGGGGATTCTGAGGTGGAAGCTGGGGGTTGACATTCCCAAACGCGGCATCTTTTGGCACCTGCAGGTTGCTCTGAGGATCTGTTCCGCTTGTAGTACTTATTTGCGTGGAAACTCTAGAGATGATCCATCAAAGTTGCGAGTGGCGTAAAGCCAAACACTTGCAACCAAACATGTCCTGTCAGCCGATCCAGTAGATGTGCACCTTCTAATCGAGGTAATTGCTAGGCAGGTCGCGATCATGATGAGTAAAGCCCTACCTGCAGACCATAGGTATTCCTCAGCCTCAGAGGCACTCCGGGCAGTTGGTGACCTATACCCTGAAAACTTGAAGCCTTAATTCTCAATGGGCGAAGGCAAACTCGAATCTGCTAATGCGGGAAGGCCGTTCTCAATTGTGAGCATTACTTTTGTGGTTTCTAGGTCCCCAAACATTCTAGATATTAACATCCAGAAGTTCAACTCGACACCATGCCCCTTCATTTCAGGCCCTCAGTCCTTGCACAAACACGCCTTCTTTAGCTAGCACAACCACGAAAACGCTGGAACTTAACTTTGTGCTGAAAGGCCAGTTTGGCATTCAAAATTTTGGGACATGGGGCAGGCACACATTTCCAAGCTAAGATTTTTCAGGCGGTGCTCACTGAAACCTGAACAAATTGCACGAGAGGCTAATCTTTCAAGGTCTTATTCGCTCAAGTCCTGTGAACCAAACCCGCAGTTGTCTCCAAACTCACCCGCAAAAAAATAGGCACAGTCTCATCGCCTCGACGACGCTCGTCAAATCCAAGCTCCCCTGCTGCACGCCGTCGTGGCTGGGACACGATGAGCGTAGGAGACCCGGGGCTTCGGATGTTGAACTTGAGATGTGGTAGTTTGAGACAGCAATTGGTTTTTTCTCACTCATGACTGTGATGCAGCCATGTGCATTTCACATCCCGAGGCCTTCGATTAGTCATGTGAAGACTTGAATAAGTTGGATATCTCTAGGGCTTTTAGCATTATGCAAGTTCAATTCGGGTCCATGAGCTGGAAGCATTTTTGCTTGCCTCTTGGGAACTTTTCTGCATATTCCTACAGGCATTTGTCGGACTGACGTCAACACTGCAGATTATTCTGTTTCTCCGTCGTTCGATGAAGGGCCAGTGGATGTAGGGTTTTCTGACTTTGCGAGATGATGAAAATTCCGGCGCTGAAGGTACATCAAGGTGTAGCAACAAATTGTGAGATTTCGCGCAGAAGAACCATAGCGTATTGCGCTCGAATTCAGAGACGAAGTGCATAATTAGCAGCGCGCAGGAGGCCAGGAGGGAGGCCTTGCACTGGGCTGGGGTCCCTGTGAAAGCAATGCTTGCCGCAATTGCGAGTTATGATCGCAAGCCCACGGATCTCTTACAAGAACATGTAACATGTGGCCCTGATTTTCGAACACGAGCTCTTGCTGCAGATGAGAGGTTGCTTTGATTCTCGCCATGCTGATGACAACGTTGTGGGTGGGCTGGCTTTGCTGAAGAAACCTTCGGTCCCATGGACCTTCAATGTACTTGCGAGGCCCAGTGGAAGAAATATGGCAGACACCTTGCTTCGTCCCGTATAGCCCACTTTAGATTTGGATCGCTTTTCAGCCATTGTTGTCAAACTGCAAGGAAAGTCCCTTTGAACTGGAGATGCAAGCAAGTGATGGTATGGCTTTTCAGCCATGAACCCTGAAGCTCCGAGCACACAAAGTCATTCCTCGCTAGGAGACAGGCGCCGGACCACTGCATACATGCCGCCATCAGCTCCAGTTTCTAGGTTGCAGTTCACTCGCACCACGCTTGCTCATCCTTATCTCTGGTTTTTGGGTTTCGATTCCTGTTGACCTTCGTACTACCTAAATCTCCAGAAAGGCCGTACTAAAGAATGAGGGGCTTGTGTAAAGGAGTCCAGCACCAAGCTCTTGTTTTGTTCCAATCAAAGAACTCATTAATATTTCACAGAAGCATAGATTCGAGTTCGATAAAACCAGTGATCCCACTCCTCCCTTCTCTGCCCATCCAAACCGGGGGGCGGCCTGGCCGCACCCCGTGTGCCGGCTTTTTTGTTTCTTTCCTTTTTTCTTTCATTCTTCCGAAAGGCCACGTAACGTCAAGCTCAAAGCTCCGTGTGCATTTGGTATCGTTTGGAGCTGGCACGGGCACTCTCCTGCTGGCCTTGTTGATAGCCTGGCTCGGATACGACCAGGCCTGCTGCAGATAGTTCAGAATTTCGTGTAATTTGTTTTACCAGTTCGCAGTACTCAGTGCTTGCGCTTGTCAGTTCAGTACCATGCAAATGTTCTGACCGTTCTGCCATCCGTGTAGCCTGAGCGGCTAAGCTACGTCCATGTAACTCCATGAAGCTACCAGTTAGGTAAGCGCACAAATAGTTAGTCCGGGCTTCCTTCTATAAATATGGTATAGGATATCTCACTCAGCATGCTCTGCCCTACCCCAGAGGTAACAAGGCCTCAACAACACCGAAGTTCCCAAAAACAGATGAGTTGAGCATACCCTTGCCGCCCTTCATCCTGGGATCTACTCTATGACACACACCCAGCCATGATTGCTCTTCCTCCTTTCGGCTACTTGTCAACCAAGGCTTCCCACCGACGATGGGAGACTAGTGCCGGCTCTGGCCGGGGACTTATGTCTCTGGAATTTGGGGTTCAGGTTTTGGCATGCTGGGTGGAGGTTGGGTTTATAAGGTCTGGGGACCAAAATGGAAACGCATAACCTCATACTCCACGAAATGTATTCTGCAAATTGCTCGGGACCAGCTGTACGTGCTAACGTGTTTCTGCGCGTTTGGGCAACAGAAAGGTTCAAGCTAGCTGTAGCTTCCCCAAATTTTGCGGTCGCGACATCAAAGCTTCATGTCCCTGCAGTACCAGGTTCTTTCTGCACCAGAGCCTAGCAGTAGCGCTGAGGGTTGTGAGGGATTGTTGTTCACATGCTGTATCGACCACGCAGGCTACTGGTTTCCAGAACTATCCCGTGTAGGACATACTTATTGTGGTCAAAAATCCCGCTGTAGGCCAATGGTCACTTGCAAGCACTCAGTTTGTTGCGGAATCTGCGATTCGCTGCAACGACATAAGTACCTCTACAAATGAGTTGTATTGAATACTTGAAGCACGCCAAAACTGGCTGGCCATGTTTGGCCAGTTTGTGGGGCCCTTTACACCTTGTGCATGTGGCAATGGTAAGGCGGTGCAGTCTTTCATGTGGCAGGACAGAAAGAATCAGAGTCCTGGTTGGTAAAGGCCTGCAACACAAGCTCAAATCAGGCTTAGGAATTACTGCGTGTACAATCAATGTGATGGTGTACAATCAATGTGATGACAGTTACCGTTTCTGCTAGAGCTCCTACAGCTAGGGTTTGAACTCAGTCAACATGTTGAGCTGTCCAACCGCCTGCTTCCTGTTGTGGTGAACCATTGATTTTGTCGATACTCCTGTCTTTTGAACCTCTTCCCCTCAATGCACCTCATGAAAGGCAATAAATTGAAAACCAACTCCATAATGTGGGTTTCTGAGGCTACGGATATACAAGCAGCAGTGCTCTGCAGAGCAATTATGGCGGCGGCTACCCTACACAGTACCCCACCTATGGTACGGGACTTAGTCCATGAAGCAGCATGCACACCTTGGCTTTGCTACAGGCCCCTTTCCCCTTCAAAGAACATGGTTGTACCTGAAAGTGAGAGGGGCCTCTTGATATTCTGGGTTTATTGGAGATCCTGGACAGTAGACATTTCCTATTCGTTCTGCTACGCAGATAGCTCTGCGCATCTCTGTGCATGATCCTCATGACGGGATTTGGTCCGCAGGGTACGACAATGTTTTCGGTGCTTCAGGATTTCTGCTTTCTGAAAAGGTGAAGCCGCCAGTCGAGGTTGCAGGGCGTCTAAAGCCGGGCCTATTTGCAGAGGTCCCCAAATATACCATAGTAGTTTCCAGCTTCTTTTCCGTTATTCCCTATTGATCAGGCCTCTGACTTTGCAAAGTTTTCTCAGACACAGGAATCCCTGTCCGGTCTACATAACGTTTTTTTTAGGGATAGTGGAAAAGAAAATGGAAACTA